TGGGCGTTATTAGAGATGGCAGCGTGACAATGACATTTTATCTGATGCGTGTTAACTGTCGTAATTACTGTTGATTGCACGTAAAGCACATTCAATTATTCTTAGCATTTTTTTTAACTTTAATTTAATTGAATTTATATTTTTGTATTGTTGTAATTCCAACTTTGTTTAGTATATAACATCACGGTCACAATGTTTACACGTGCACACCGTTGATCACGCTGTGATCTTTGAATGCTGATTCACTAGTGCAAAATCAGGCAATGGCTTAAACAGACCCGGCGTCTCTTGCCGCTGCCATTGATATATCGGTGTTGTTTTCTTTTTGGCTTAAACCAGTTTGCGGCAATGCCACCGTTACCGGCTACCGTTGCGATTATTACTGCGCTCACTGTTGCTGCTGTTGTGTTGTCGTTGTTGCTGTTGCTGTTGCTGCTGCTGCTGCTGTTGTCGATGTCATCTCAGTCGGTTCCTTCTGCTCGGCTAGCTCTAGAGCTGGCAGCAGACATTGAACCGCATTGACAACCGTGACTTTTGTTTGCTTTAAAATATATTAACACACTTCGCTTCAACATTGTTAAGCATGAATACATGTGAATACTTTTGTATGTCAGATACATATGTATGTACATACTGCTTTTATTTTATTTTATTTTTATTTTATTGACGCTGTGCATTTATCAATTTTGTTTTATACAAACAGGCACACACACACAGACACCGCTGAAAGTGTGAGTGCTCATTAAGCGATTGCCGCAATTGGTGCGTGATAACGTCACACACAAACAATCACACACACTCACACAGGCAAACACGCACAGATAATGAAACGACGTAGTGAACCGAACCAATAAACAAATTGAACGGGAATTCGAGTTCGAAACGTGCGTCCCAATTGGAATGCCTACGCCTGCGTCCGACAACCGACGACGACTGACTGACTGCGACGTCGCGCTAAAAAGCTGATAGAGCCAGAGCCCTGTTATTGTTATTATTGTTGTTGCTGCTGCTGCTGCTGCTGCTGTAGCAGTTGCTGTTGTTATAGCCATTGCTGTTGCTGCTGTTGCTGTTGCTGCTGCTTATGTACGTACTATTTGTTGTTTTTATGTGCTGCGGGCGCAAGGAAAACAAAGCGGAACGCAGCTAAAACACAAATGCAAACAAACAACGCAGTCGCAGCCGTCGACGCGTCGCGGGCAGCAGAACGAGGCACGAGGCGTCAACAGCTATGAAACCGAAGCTAAACGAGCCAAATTGAAGCGGCGAATGCTAAAACAAAAACACCAAAGCGAAAGAGCACACAAGCAAAAGCGCCATCAAACGAGCCAGTGCGTGCGCCAGCTAGTGAACACGGATGAACTAGTTCTTTTCTAGCTCCTACACGAAAGAATGAAAATCAACACGATGTTAAACATTAAACTAAAAAAGCTGTTAAGCAATGTAGAAAAAAATAGTTGAGTATGGAAAACCAAAACTCGAAACAATTTTCTTATTAGAATGCCAAAGGATGCAGGATGACGGAACAAAATTTTCGCCATGTGCCCAGCCCTGGAAATTTCGAAGAACAATTTGTACACGCGCTGCCAGTTAACAACAGCAAAACAAAAGGGCAGGCAAGCAAAAACAAACAAACAGAAGAAGAAAGGCAAAAACAAACAGCAGACAAGTAGAAGCGACAGAGACGTCGAGAGAGGGAGAGATGCGGAGAAGGCAAGAAGAGGTCGTCACCTTTAACAGTGGGCGGCAGCCATGTAAACACGAAGAAGGCATAGAAGAAGAAGACGACGACGACGATGAAGATGGGAGTCAATGACGACAACGTAACGAGCGAGCGAGCGAGAGAGATAGAGTGGGAGAGAGAGACAAATGTAAAGCGTTGGTACTTGGAGGTCGAGGCAGGATACAAATGTTATGCTGTATGTGTGTGTGTGCTTAAGCATTACTATATACATATGTGTGTGTGCGATGTTTGTTGATGCGTAGTCAGTGTGCAGTTGCATTGGCGCCGGCAACAACAACCGAATGTCGTATAAACGGAGCAAAGCAACAACAATCGCACACACACACACACACACACAAATAGAATGAAGCGAACAAACAAACAAACAAACGAACAAACATGCATACCTAAATTGCATTGTGTATTTATTTATTTATTTAGTCGATGGCAACACCGGCAACGAATGCTGCAAACGCAATCTGCACAATGTGCCATGGCAACAGAGCCCCGCCGCCTCACCTTTGCCACCTTTTCAGTCAAGGCATGCGGGGTATGCGGCACTCAGACGCACTCACGCCGAGCATTTGAAATAAAAGAGTTCTACACAGACAACAGACAACAGACAGTGCGATGCCATGCGACACCTGGACAGACGCAGGGTGTGGATGATGGAAATTTAATTAAATGCGAGGGTTATTTAATTTTAAACCTTTTCTAAGCTTTTTATAAGTTTTTATTTGCAGCATTTGACTACAGCCCCAGCCCTCCTTTACTCTCTTGCGTAAAGTTTTTTTTTATAGAAAAGTAAATAATTAAAAAAAAAATAAAAGAAATATTGGTATTATTAAAATCTTATGTAAATAATATATATTTTTTTATAAAAACAAAAGTCAACTAAAATAGAAATTAGAAATTGCAAAATATTATAAAATTATTATAGAGTTATGCATAACACAAAAATACATAGATCGAGTTAGCCCTAAAATATTTTCAAGTGTAAACTACCTAAAGACCAACAAGAAACTCAACAACAGCAACGACAACAAATCCGACACGGAATCCGACTCCCGCGTGGGACACTATATGGAGCCCAATGAAATGTTAGTTCAAAGCCAGACCAAGTGTGAAATAATCACATTAAGCAACAAACACAAGCAGAAGACGACACTTGGCAGACAGTCAACACTTGCTCGGCTGACAACAAACAAACAAGCCAGCCAAGACTCTCTGTCTCTGTCTCTTTCGCTCTGTCTCTCTTTTTCTGGTTGTCGCCCAAGTAGGTTGCCAGGTTGCGGGAGACAAGGGCCACGGAGTTAAGAGTCATTGCCGGGGCAACCCACAGGGAATCGCACTCTAAAGGCAATTTCAACAAAGCAGAAGCTAGAGAGACAAGTTTTCAAGAGCAGCAAATGGAAAACGGTATAAAAGATGCAATTGCATCTGCCTCAAATTAAAAATAAATTAATAAAAAAAAATAACTTTAAAATAAACTAATAAAATTTGTATTTATTACTTCTTGACGCTCCACGATGCAGAATAATTATTTTTGTTCAATAGCCTATGAATGATTCCTTTGAGTTGAATGATTCCTTTGAGTTCAATAATGATAATGTAAAACTTAATGGAATAGAATATATCATTATCAATAATTTGCAATTATAATAAACATTTTGCTCTATTTCTTGCTCACAAGCTGTTGAATTTCTGCACAGTTAATTCCATGACTCTTCTAATAGCGCACTGCAAAAATAGCTTTATGTTATACGAGTTTCCCAAAACATTGGAGAACTTTGATTGTGCTCGCCTGACTGCGTACTACGAGTTCGTAATGAAAAAGAAATAGCTGGGTTCATGTATACAATAAATATTGATTAAGCTGGAAATGAATAAATAAAAACTAAACAACATATGCAAAAAAATGAAAATAAAATAAAAATAGAAAAAAAAAAAACAAAAATAAAATTAAAAATAAAAAAATAAAAAATAAATTAAAAATATAATAAAAAAAATAAAAATAAAAAATAAATTAAAAATAAATACAAAAAAAAAAATTAAATTTAATTTAAAAAAATAAATGAAATGAAAAAAATAAAAATGAAATAAACAAATAAAAGATCAACATTAAATAATAATAATCAATATTAAATAATAGTAAATCATTTTTTCAAAAAATTATGATTTACTTGGCGATATTGTAGATGTTATAAATGATTGCAAAACCCTAGTTCATATAGCTACCTATCTTAGCCTACCTATCTATCGAATAGACGAGGCTAAATCACTTCAGTTACTGATAATAACTAAAGAATCATATATCATTCTCGCTTTCTATTAACATTTACATACAGCTCAACAAAACCAATATACCCACAAAATTTCTATGCTCCCTGGGTATACAAATCATGCTCATGTCTTACACAAATAAATGTTTTAATTATCTTTTTATTATACTAAGAGTTTTTGCCACATGTATTGCTTATGCCGCGGCGCTGTCTGTACGCCTCAATTTTACAGAGCATCTAATTGGATTCTTATTTGCGCGAGTGTGTGTGTGTGCGTTTTTTTATTTTTTTCACACTTTAAACGAAAAGTTGAACCTTAATGTCAAACATTTCTAAATAGGGAGCTGCGAAAAGCAGAGTCAATGAGCTCATGACTCATCAGCTACATCTGGATATATAAATAAATGTGTGTGTGTGTGTTTTTATATACATATACATATATATACATTTATGTTTGTCTGTATGTGTATGTGTATATATGTATTTGCAAGGCTTAGTCAAGTTTGCTGTCACAGCGGCATTTACAGACCATTCTGATGACGCTGCCTGTTGATGGGCAATGGCGCCTCGAGTCTCAACTATTCTGATGACCTAATTGTGCCTGTGAAACCACCCTGTTGCTCAAATACGCACACACACACAAACACAGCAACGCACTTGGTTACATTTGTATATGTTGAGTTTTATTTATAGTTAGATATGTATGTATGTATGTATTTGTTTGCAAAAGGAAGTTTTATTCTTTCTTTCTTTCTTTCCATTTCAATTTGACCTTTAGCCATTTGACTTCTGTTTGTAAACAGTTCCATCACTTCAAAATCAGCTTTAATATACATACGTACATATACACGCACACATATTATGTAGCCAGCTGTTAGGCGCGAATTTATCTAATCAGTTAGCCAGAGGAACAGAGCATTCAAAACTGTGCGAACAGTTTAGTGTCTGTTTGGCGTTCGAGCGCGTAGGAAGTGCCGCGGAACAGTTCTGTTTGAATTCAAGATATATATACATACATATACATACATATATGCACATATAAACAAGTATATATATATATTCACATACGGTTGAAATGGATTTGCGCCTGGGTGTGACCGACAAAATAAAGATAGCCGCAAAGTAAGTGGGAAATCCAGCTTGCCCAAAGTTTCTTCCTCATCTGGCTATAGATGGGTATTTCCTAGTCGTAGCAGTTGGCTTGGCTAACACAATAATATTGTTATTATTAAATTCTTATTGTTGTCGTTCCATTATAGATAAGTTATCTCCTGGTAATCCCATTGTAATGGCCTAAATAAATATGGCTAAGCAAATACATTTGATTTGAAGAGCCTAGAAAAATGAATAATATAGAACTATTCCCATTATAGACAATGTATATAGAATAATCTCCATTTTATATATAATCTATATATATATATTTCGGTATCTCACACATAAGCACTTAAAGATTATACGAGGTACAAATTATTAATACTAAACTCACACGGCTTTCTATAAACTTTCTAATCAGCATAGAGACTAGACGCTTGACGAAGATATCTGTTTGTCTGTCTGTCTGTTTATATATGATTATATATTTTCAGATATAGCCCGGTCCAAAGGTCTAAATATGTTATTCAATTATTTAAATTCACAAAATATTTGACGATTTTAATATCAAAATTTAGAATTCTTTTATTGGCTTGGCACTTTCACTTCTCTTTGTCTATCATTCGGGGAATAAAAGTGCGAGTCAAGTCAAATATTGCTTAGGCACTGCTCGTCATTCAATTTGAGTTATTTTTCGGCATGCGGCATGAATAATTCAATGTTTATAATTGGTAAACCAAATAAATAAAGAAATCGAGTGCGTAAAGCGCGACTTTCAACATGTTTGCAGCCAACAATCGATTGATATTTGGGGTATATGCGTTTTGTTAAACAAAGAAGGCGTGACGTCATGTAGTGTAGAAGAAACTTAAAAAAATGATGGAATTTTCTATATCATAATAATACTATAACAGCCACATATGAAAGTAACTGACATTAATCGATATATTCTTCAGATATCGATTAAAATCAATGGTAAATCTGAGCTATTTTTGCGTGTCTCTCCCAATTCAATAAATTTCTAGGAGAAGTATCCCCCATTATATGAGTTACCCACTTGTTGAACACTTCAGCTACAGCGTAAATTGCAAGGCAAACAACGTGAAAGCTTTTGTGTGCGTGTGTATGTATGTGTTGATATGTATGTATATCAACAGCAAATGGTAGCTCATTAGTTGTGCTAGGGTATCGCCCAATCCAACAATGTATAAGTCTTGTTGTAAGTATGTATAACTAAATAGAAAAAATAGACATTTCCTTACGGATATTTTCCAGTCGAGTACTATCGGGTGGTAGATTCTTGGTCTTATTGCTAGTTAGGATACCTTCTAGTCGAGTACTGACACAGTTTTTGGTTTGCGTACATATATGTACGAATAGGGTATCTTCTAGTTGAGTACTCCCGAGTGGTAGACTCTTAGTGTTACGGCTGTTTAGGGTATCTCTTAGTCGAGAACTGAAACAATTTATGGCTTAGGTACATTTACATACATATGTATAAATATTACGGACAATAGAGTATCTCCTAGTCGAGTACTTCCATTCTTCACATTCTTAAACACATTCAATTCAGCAATTATTTCATAAATTTCATAAATTATATTCCACTCATTTAGGGCGGTGGGCCACAAGGTCGTTCAGTATCGACTGAGCACCGGACACACCAAAGTGCTGGAGACCAAATGCGGCAAGGTGAAGGGCATGGAGCGCAAGACCGTCTATGATGGCGAGCACTACTTTTCGTTTGAGGGCATACCCTACGGGCAGCCGCCGGTGGGCGAGCTGCGCTTTCGGGCGCCACAGCCAGCACAGCCCTGGGAGGGGGTGAAGGACTGCACCCACACTCGAGCGCAGCCGCTGCAGAAGAACGCCATATCGAATGTGGTGGAGGGGGCGGAGGATTGCCTGTACATCAACGTGTATGCCAAGCGGCTGGAATCATCCAGTTCCCTGCCGGTCATGGTGTGGATCTATGGCGGTGGCTTTCAGATCGGCGGTGCCACGCGCGACATCTACGGGCCGGACTACTTTATGAAGCACGATGTGGTTTTGGTCACCTTCAATTATCGCGTCGGCGCCTTGGGCTTCCTCAGCCTTAAGGACCCCGAGCTGCAGGTGCCCGGCAATGCGGGCCTCAAGGATCAGGTGCTGGCGTTGCGCTGGGTGCGCGACCACATAGCCAGCTTCAATGGCGACGCGAACAACATTACGCTGATGGGCGAGAGCGCGGGCGGAGCCTCCGCTCACATGCTGATGCACACGGAGCAGGCGCGAGGCCTGTTCCATCGCGCCATTGTGCAGTCGGGTTCGGCGCTCTGCGAGTGGTCCACCCAGCCGGACCGAGGCGCCGTCCAGCGGCTGGCCAAGCGCTTGGGCTACAAGGGCGAGGAGGGCAATGAGAAGCAGCTGCTGCAGTTCCTGAAATCCGCATCCGGGCACCACCTGGCACAGTACTGCAATGCGATTGTGTCCCAGGAGGAGCATCGTCAGTACGAGATAATTGCCTTCGGGCCCGTCGTCGAGCCGTACATAGGTGACGATTGCGTCGTGCCCCGGCCATATATCGAGCTATTGGCCAGCGCCTGGGGCAATGAGATTCCGCTCATCATTGGTGGCACCTCCTTCGAGGGCCTCTTCAGCTACCAGTCCACGCTGCAGGACAAGGAGCATATGCTGAGGGCCTTCGAGGCCATTATTCCGCGACCCGTCCGAGATGCCATCGATGCCAACGAGCTGGCCGAGCAGCTGCGCCGCCTCAAGCTGGCCTATTTCGACGACGCCGACCGGGCCAGCATGGAGCTGTTCGAGTGCCTGCGCATACTGAGCATCAAGAACTTCTGGCACGGCATTCATCGCACGCTGCTCGCGCGCGGCGCCTATGCCCCAGCCACGCCCACCTACTTGTACCGCTTCGACATGGACTCGCCGCACTACAATCACTACCGCAATCTGAAATGCGGGCGGCACGTGCGTGGAGTGTGCCATGGCGACGATATATCCTACATGTTTTACACGCTGCTCTCCAACAAGCTGGACAAGGCCTCGCCCGAGTACCGCACCATCGAGCGGCTCGTCGGCATGTGGACATCGTTCGCCACCAAGGGCAATCCGAACTGCTCCCTGATCGAGCCCATCCAATGGGAGCCGGTGCGACCGGGCGGCTCGGAGCTCTGCCTGAACATCTCTGAAGAGCTGGAGTTCAAGCCATTGCCGGAGAGCAAAGAGTTTGTGGTCTGGGATAGCTTCTATACAAGAGAGACTTTATACTAGTAATGCTCTGTCTCTCTCTCTGTCTCTTTCTGTCTCTAAGCTGCCCGATTTGCATTTAATGAACCAGTTCCGCCCATCGGTTCACTTTAAGCTTTACAAAGCTGTCGTGTTTGAAAAACCACTAAATTATCTATATAAGTATTATTCGACTATAACTATCATACATATGTATGTATATCCGAATTGTATTTTCTCTCTCCATCCCAGCAACATTTCATTGACTTTAGTCTTAGTCATTAACGAATAATCAAATGATTTCCGGCCCTTTTGAATGTACTCAGTGCTTCTAGCTTTGCTACCAACAATTGTTAAAAACTCTACGAATAACCAAATTTATATATTAAATAAATGTACAAACAAAAATTTAGAATCTTCTTTTTTTGAGCATGAGAGCAATGGAATAAGAATTCTTATATATGAGATATTATATTAAATTGATAATCCTTGACATCTTTTCTTTTACCTTTAAGATAAACATATGTATTTAGATTTTCTTCTTGGTCAATAATATTTTAATTATATAGTTTATCCATTGAGGCGTGGCATAACATTGAACTCTCAAGCAATTAAGTTTTAAGTGTTTTTTTTATTAGAATAGAATATTCAGTCGATTTCGCTCGACTTAAATGTTCTTACACAATTTCATTTGTTATTTAAATATTTATCTTTGGTATTTCTTTTGAAAACAACATTTTAAAATTCCTCCAACATATTTCTATGAAATATAAACATTGAACGCCTATACATATCTACAGGGTATTCCCCTACTCAAGCGAAACATTTCGAATTCCTCTGCTCAGTTCTCTGTAGCATTTCTTTAACCAGTTTCATCTGCTTTTTTGCATCGCCCCATTGGCGGGCGGCCAACAAATTTTAAACGCCGCCAAACACCGCGGGTCATTGTTGTCATTGTCATAATTAAATGTTCAGCATAGTTAAAAATAAATGCAATTGGTGGGGGAAACCAAAAAACAGAGAGAGTGAGAGAGAGAGAGCAAGCTAATTAATGAAAAATAATTTTGATCAAGTGCAAATTATTACTGTAAAATGTACGCAAAGCATAAAATCAAATCATTCATTAATATTTACATAGCACGTTTTTGTTTATTCACATTCGAAACGCGCTGTAAACACAAATCCGTCGAACTCATCTATATATACATACATATGTATACATATGTATATATTTTATATCTGCAGATCGCCCATAGCGGCAGTTGCAAATAGTTTACGCCATTTCCATGGCTATAAAAGATAGCAAACACATGTTTATTTTACTTGGGATGAGAGATATTTGTGCGCCGATGTGTGTATGCTCTATGCGTTGAGGATGGGCTTTGTAGATTCGATGTGCCATTAGGGCATATTGGATACATAGATTAATGTGTATATACAGTAGCATTCCGATAACTCGAAATGGCAATAGGATCAGATTTTTTTCAATTTACACAGAAATTAAAATTATCGAGAATTATTAAAACTTTGAATTTCTTTCAACTTTTTTCGATTTTTCGCGATTTCCGATTTAAAGGGGCACAAATTATCGAGACTCGACTGTATTACTGTACATAAAATTCAAAATTAAAAATTTTACCTTTTACGGCGTCAAATGGTGCTACAACTTTATCTAAATAAATAATGCCCGAATTGACGTGTTCGTACTACTAACCAAATCATCCATATTCTTGATTAAACTGTTACTAAAATATTATTCGCATTACCTAAAATTTATATACATATAAATTCATATTCATATACAAATATACATATTTCATATACACATAAATATCATATATCCTGTATAGCTGACCACCAAAGAGTATCTGCCAGTCAAGTTCAGCAATTATAAACATTCCGTTTTGGCATGAGGAAAGGGGAATGAAAAAGACTTTGGCAATGGCCACACATAGATCGATTTAAATTCGTTTAAATTTGGATTCGCTTTTTGCTCGAATCTCTTTAAAGATGAGCATAAATATTAAATGGTTTTTCGCACTTACCCCAATGCGAGTCGGACTGACTGTATGGAAATCTGCGTACGTCATGCGATTAATGTGAGCCCCACCGTCCCACCTCCTGCGCACACCAGCCAGTCAGCTAAGTGGCGGGAGGTCTGTCCGTACATCCGTCCGTTGGTTGGTTTGGCTTGACGCCAAAAAAGAAAAAAAAATCGCGTTTGCGCTGCTCGCTTTACTAGGTTAAATTTAATTAATTTGTCTCGATGATGCTCGGTCGACATCCTCGTCGTTGATTTGCAATGTTTGATTATTTATTCATTTCGCATTTTAACTGTATAGGTCTGCTCGCCCACCACAACCTCAGGCGGTCACACCCAGCCACCCAGTTCCCATTCCCATTCTCCTGCCACCTTTGTCTGCCCACCAACAAACACAGTCGCATTGCAGCATTTGCAATTTTATTGCATTTATTTATTTATTATTTTATGTGCATTTGCTTTATTTGTGTGTATGTTCGTCTCTGAAATTTACACAATTCCAATTAATGGCATTTAATTATTTATTCGGCATTTTGCACATTGTATGCGCCATCCAGTTCCAGTTCCAGCGGCAGCTGTGAATTTTACATTTTTATGGCTGGTTGCAATTTGTGCGCTTTGAATATAAATTTCAAATAAAATGCCACAAACTGAGGCAGCCAGCCTCGGTTCGTCTGTCTATGTGATAACACTGCGCAATGCAATTCAAGTTGATAATAATACTGGGGCGGCGGGTCAGTGCAAAAAAAAAAACTATCCAAATAAATAAATATAGAAATGGAGAATAGATATAAACCTAATGCCAGACAGCATTTGAAAATATTTATTTAACTGCAATAAATATACTTAGTGCACATAATGAAAAGATTTTATTATCATCAAATCACATTTATAATTACATATATATTTGTAATTATATATAAGCAATTATAAAGCCGAAATCAAAGCACAAATTTTAGCAATAAAATTAATTTAAATTTGGCATATTTTAATTGAGTTTGTAAATGTTATGGAAATATATATATAATATATATATGCATATGCAAACATAATACATATTTTATTGCATTAGACAGCTTGTCTAGCAACATCCATTAGTCAGTCATGCAAACTGAAACTGATTTTTATAGAAGTTCATAGAGTACCAAAGAGTTTATTGGGTTTGTATATACATACGCCTGTAAAACAGTTGAATAATAAAGCAAAATGCATAAAAGCTTGAATATATCTTTTATTTACATTTCTGAGATATAACAACTGGCAGAAAAAATTCTATTTGCTGCACAATATAAGTATTATATTGACGCTACTAAAGCAAGACTGTTAATGTTAATTTCTAAAACCCGAAAAACAAATATGAGTGTTGGAAAGTGTGGGAAAGTCGTTCAAGTAGTATTTCCGTAAAGGCATTTGATTTACTGCCTTGTATTTAAAGAAGAAGAACTGCAGAGATAAGAAAATGATGTAAGATCGCAATCTGTGCTCCTCTCCTCCCTCCTCATGCTCTCTTCACAATATTCTATACTGCAATAAAATCACACTTGAAACTCTCGATAATTTATCTTTTTTTTTAGTGTCCATCAATTATTGACTGTATCTAAATAAATTCCTTGAATTTGATAATAAAATAATGGCATAAAACCATTTGAATATCAGAGCAGCTATTTAAGTAACAGCAATAAATATTTATTAACACAAATATAACGTGGCTTCAGCTCAATCACTTCAATCTCTATCGTTTAAAAACGAATTATTTCCGCGTTAAATCATTTGGAAAACTCTCGGCTTTAATTGCCTTAACCGGTTATCGAATTCGTTCGCCAATCTTGCACATTTAATTGTTTATTTTCCGTGTATATGTAAGCAAAATTTTAAATTGCCTGTTGTTTATTTAGCTGAGTCATAATTCTATAAATAGCCAGCCGAAAATTCTAATTTCAAATTGAAGCGCTCGCTGTGTCTCCGCGCTCAATCTTATCAACGAATTGTGATGGACAGAGCGCTGGCGAAGCACTCCAAAAATACATTTCACACACAGAAATAACATAAATCGAGAGCCAGAAGTAAAAAAGAAACGAAACGCAAAAAAAGAGAGACAGACAAATAATCGCGGAAAGCTATTAAATTTTAATCAGAAATACAAGCGACCCTGCGGTCAAAATTCCCACCAGAGCGAGCAGAGTCACATGTGATGGGCATGAAAATTCTCTGTCGCTCTCTCTCTCTCGCTTTGGAGCTCAGTCCTCTGGCTGGTTAACTCCCAACATCGAATCCACTGATTAATCGCACAGCACGCGGGGTCATTTGACGGCGCCATCCCATTTCGTTCCATCCCATCCCAGCCATACCCTACCACATCTTCAACCATCATCGTCATTATCAACATCAGCCGCATCATCATTCTGATCATCATCAGCACAATTTGTACTCATCCACATCATCCTCGGCTGCGCAGCGGCAGCAATTTGTTTATTTTGATTCGTGTGACGCGAAAAAACTTTTTTTTCGCAAATTTGTTTGCGTAAATGCTCTTTTCTCCATTTGCTTTTAGTCGCCCACGAGTTGGGTTTGTCCCAATGTGAGGTCTACTTAGTGCATATGCAATATACATATATTCGAATTTCTTATCATTCGAATAATAAATTTACTACAAAATGCTAAATTAATCTATTGATAATGATAGAAGGAGCATAGGCAATAATTCTTAGTAATAAATTTATACATATCTAGATATTGCTATATCAAAATATGTATAGAATGCTTTAAGACATATACTTGCTTCATTATTGAAAATGAGTAAAATAAATTTATATTTTTTAGAGATCAGCAAAATTTTCTGTGCTTGAAGCATAAATATTCAAAATTATAAATTAAATATAATTATTTTTTTTTTAATAATTTGTATTAAATTAATTATTAAAAAATAATTATATAAATATTATTAATCGTATATCATTAATTAATTATAAATATTATTAATTTCATATAGTTAGTATTAAATTAATTATATAAAATAAATCATATTTATTTAATAATTAATATTAATAAATATTATAAATTATAAAATATATATTATTTGTCTTTTATAAATGGTATTAAATTAATTATATAAAATTAATAATATAAATATTATTAATCGTATGTAATTAATTCATTTTTTATATTATCAATTTTGTATTTAAATATTTTATTATTATTAATTTTATGTAATTAGGTATTAAATTAATTATTTAAAAAAATAAATAATATTTATTTAATAATTAATAGGATCATATTTATGCTTGATGAAAATTTTATTAATCAAAAAAATATATATACATTTATTATATATAGATTCCCATTATGAATGAATTATTTATTCAGTTTTGATTATCCTATATAAGATTGCCTATTAAAAAGTATTTATATTCCAATTTCTGTACTTAAACTCACTTTAAAGTCTAATTTGAGTCAAAGCAAAATTGCTATCAGAAAGGAAATCTATTTGAATACATGTAGACACACGTTTAACTTATTTTAATTTAGTTTTAAATTTTTGTAGTACACAGAGAGTATATTAAATATTATAATAGATATACTAATTATACTATAATAAATAGCAATCATATCATTTGATCACACAGAGAGACCTTTATCAAATAGAGGTTAATACTTTAGTTGAGCTTACCTGATGTGCATTCCATTGCTGTATGAGATCCTCGTAGCAGGGCATGCAGGCCTGAATCATGCCGCGCGGATCCTTGGGGCGCGAGCGCGCTGGCCGCGGATGCTGTTCGTTGAAGAGCGGAAAGTAGGCAACCGACTGGCCCAGCCGGGACTCCTTTGGCTTGACGGTGCTCAGCTCGACGAGGCTGCCGCGACGCTGCTCATCGCCGCACACATAGCAGACTTCCGTAATGGAGTTCTTGTCGGGCATGGACAGATCCAGGATGCCCACCTCGGCAGTGGTTGCGGATGCATTGCCCGTCTGACTGCGCGGCGTGGGCGTGACCACAGGCATGGGCATTGCGGCAGGCGCGGCATTTACCGCTGATGAATTGCGCAAATCCAGCACCGTGGCGTTGTCATCCTCCAGGCTGGGCGGCTGCGCGCTCAGCGGCAGGCTCGACCCCACGCCGGGCAGCGCGCTATACGGATTGCCCTTGTAATGGGCCTGGGGCTCAGCCGAGCCGGCGGCCACCTGCTGCAGCATGTGATAGGCGGCCGTCTGCTGCTGCAGCTGCTGGTACTGGGCGGGCTGGTACTGCGCCGGCGCCTGGGGCGGCGCTGGCGGCTGATAGTTGTGCTGGGCCAGCTTGAACTTGTGCTGCGCAAAGTTGGAGCTGGAGCCGGCCGAGGTGCGAGCGGGCGGCTCGCTGGGCGGCCGCGACAGCGGCGATGGCAGCTGCATATCTCGCGACTGCGGCCGGCTCAGGTATTTGTGATTGCTGTAGCCCTGACTGTGGCTAGTGGGCGTGGCGTTGCGAGGATAATAGTCGGGCGAGGCGTTCCTTGAGGTACTATGGTGTGGTTGCTGCAGCTGCAGCTGCTGCTGCTGCTGCTGCGGCGACACAGCCGGCGGCGCCCCCACAGCAGCATAATGCCTGCCCAGGGCATACGGATCCATTGGAGGCGCTGCCGCCGCATTCTGCAGCTCGGCAAGCCCGTTCTGGCTGAGGTGCTCGGCGCTGAGGCCCAGCATTTGGGCCGCATACTCACTCTGCGTGGCCACATCGGCGCCAATGTAGCCCTTGCCATCCACGCGCTTCATGTGATAAATGCGCTGCAGCAGCGGCTTCTTCTGCCTCTCGAACGCCTCCCATTGCTCGTGCAGCAGCCGGAAGCACAGCATGCAGGCCATCACGTACATCTGGCCGGCTGCCACGGGCGGTACACCCTGCGGCGGCTCGTGCCGCTCCAGGAACGGAAAGTGCGGCTCGCTCGGCCGCTCCGGATTGGCGCGCACGCGCAGTGCCTCGTAGCTGCCGTGTCCGCCGCACACAAAGCAAACGGAGGCGGTCAGGTGCTCCGGCGGCGCCGAGGCACGGCCCGTGGACCGGACCGGCGCTGGATAATATTGCTGCATATTATTGTGATAGCCACCAAGCGGCGATGGCATCAGCTCCGCGCCGACCGCGTGCTGACTCTGCCCCGGCGGCATCGGTGGTGGTGGTGGTGTTGCGGTTGGCTCGGATTGCAGTGGTGCGCTGCTGCCACGAAGTTCATTTTTAATGTACGCTTTCGCCTTTTCCATAATATTCAGCTGCAAAAGATGAGAAGAAGAAGAAAGCAATTAGAATGCTTAGTAAATTATATAACGATCAGAGAATATTAACTATAATATAAGTAAATGTCTGTAAGCTCAGGAAGGAACTACGCAAAGATCAATTGGAAGTATAGAAAGACTCTCGATCTGCTTGATATATATAACAATTGAGATCGATTTAACCCTTGAGATCTTCAGATCTGCAAATAAATAATGATTATATACCGATTTTGAGGCAGTCTAGAGAGCAACTATATCGAATATATTATTATGTATTATTTTATCATATTATAATATCATATTAATATATAAAACTATATATATATAGTATCCAATTCCCTTAATATAGTCATCCAATTCCCTTAATACCAATCAATTAAAAATATCGATATTTTTACGATCATAACGATACACATCTATATTCAACAATAGATAACATATATCTTATTTAAGTTTAAACAAGAAGATATCTTTTATATAAATATATCGAAACATCAAATTACGTAAAACTTTAAGTTGTCAACAGCATACAAAGTTGACTTACGTAAGTTGCTAAGCAAAAAATAGTCAATCTCCAAAAAAACATATCACCAAACAGAGAAACTAACAAGCAAATACTCCAAAATAATACGAACTCATAATATATCGTATGCTCTATATACAATATATACTCATAAGATATCGCATTTTTGACCAAAATGAAGCGCATACATATCGATACAGCCGTACCCAACTATCCCAGTGGCAAATGGACATGGGACGAAGCGGGTGATTGCCTGAAATTCGTCTCGCATAGCGAATTGGGGGAAGCTGGTGAGCGGTACATTGACACAAATGGATACAAGTTTCTGCGCACAATCGATCAGCACGAGGAAACGGTTTTCCGTCAGGTGTACGTACGGCCCGGCGCTAGATATGATTTGGACACCATTGGGTTACATGATGTACGCGATCTGGTGCTCTTCATGATGCCAAAAGAGTTTTTAACCTTGAAGTTTGTTGCCTTCATCCATCAGCCAGATGTCCATAGGCTGCTTCATTCGTTAATTCTTTACTTTAACTATTTTCTTCAACTGGTGGAGTTCATTTTGATACGACGGGACGAGCTATCGGGCAATAAGGCCCAGGTGCAAAGCGAACAAACGAATGAAGTGAAGCGAATATGGTCAACCTACTTGGGCCAGTATCGCCTATTGGTGGCCAGAAATTACAGCGTCATCTTAAAGAGCGAGGGTGATCTGAAGAAGTACTATCACACGAAAGAAATCGTCCATATCTCATCCAAGATCAAGGATCGTGCATTCCACAGTCAATTTCTGGCATACGCAACTCAAGTCGTCTGGATTACCCTGCACAGGCGTGCCTATTTCATTATTGAAATGGAAATGAATCGACTCTTCCGATCTGAATACTTTCTAATGAACCGCAAAGAGTATCCGGAATTTACGCCGGTCGAGCGATCGTTGCTCTATGGCCGCAACTGTAAAATTGTCAACTATCGTGAGCAAAGATCGCCGTTAATTCAGGAGTTGCTCCATGTAGCCGATGAGGATATGCCAATCCTATGGATCGGCGAACGAATGTATCGTGGCTCCGATCATCGCATAGCCGAACTGGAACTGGAGTATATGGTGCCCGATATGCAATTGTATATGGTCGATATATCGCACGGTATTCTGGGTCATCCGAAAACACTTTACAACACCATCCTCGCCTTGGACTGGCCATCAGTACGCTATTCGAACTTTTCATTGAATTACGATCCATATTATATGATAAGGCAGCCGGAACTGCATATACCCAACATCAATGATATGGCGTTGCGCCGAATGTCGAAGAACCTGGAGCACTACTACAAAATATTTCGCATCTACGAGCAAGCTTCGAAAGCGGTGCTCATGAATTGGGTCAATCGGGTCAAGGTTCTCGATTACTATCACACTGGCGGAGTTCTTCATACTCTTGAAAGGAGCTGTGAGTTACAGCTGAAGAGCGATACGCGACAAGTGCATGAGATTGTTGAACAATTTAAGGATACAATGGGAAGACTACGAAAAAAGAAGGTTAAAACTATGGGCGACGTTGACCAAACGAATGCTGCACCGGACGAAAAGCCCGATTATGTACTCAAGGGCGATGACGTATACTTTGCAGAGTAGTTCAGATTCATTCAGACCAAATGGAAAGATTGGAATTGTGCTTCAAATTGAAGTGATCGTTAACGATTTCATTCAATTTGACGATAGCAGTTAGAATTACGCTATTAAACTGTTATAATGCTGGCATCAAAAGCTAAACTAACTATAAATAAACCAACATAAAACATCAACAAGTTCGGCAACTATCTGATTGACCTTGCCATGACTTTCTGATAATAGCATTAGAGAAGAGTTTCTGGAGATCATCAGACTACGATTAGCTGGTTTTACTCTCTGCCCATTTGTATGGTCGCGTAGATCTCGTATATTATTGATGCTAGGTATAAATATTCCTGTATATCGTATGCGGTACGAGCTTCACATTTGTATCGATAACTCTTGCCATTTCCTTTTAATTTTAATCGATAGGCCTTCTCATCTTATTCCAGAAAGTAGCTGAAAATCGATTTTTAGCCTCAATGGAAACAATTTTTAATGTATAAGCAAAGTAATTATATTTGCAGCTTATGTTATTGGATGCGCCAAAGCGAATGCAAATCAGTATTACTTTATAAATATATGTATATAGACTTTTTTAATTCCATCACAAAGAGTTTTTCAACAAGTAGTGACTCTTTTTAGGAAAAAAAAAGAACTCAGTTTAAAAAGATCAATCAGAATACGAAAGTTCCCTTGCATCAAGTGTCAATAACAAAATATTCAATCTCAAAAAACATATCACTAAACAGAGAAACTAACAATCATCAAATATACCATATATTTAATATAAGTATAACAGTGATATTATCTCTTGTTGTCCAACATGAATCGCATACATATCGAAAGATCTTTACCAAAGTACAGGGTTGGTAAGTGGAAGTGGAACGAAAAAAGTGAAGAGCTTAACTTTCGGGTGTATACCGACTTGGAGGATCGGCCAACACGTTTTATTTACACAAATGGTTATAAGTTTATTCGCACCATCAACCAGGACGAAGAATCGGTATTACGCGAACAGTTTGTCCGCTCCGATAACACGTTCGATGCGGACACTGTGATAATCGATGATGTGCGGAATTTAGTGTTATTTTTAATGCCAAAAGAGTTTTTGAACATGCAGTTTCTTGAATTTATGCACCATCCTCTTGTGCATAGACTGTTGCATGGTTTGATTATATATTTTGAATACTTTTTGCGTTTTGTGGAGCTGATCCTCGTACAGCGAGATGAACTCAGTGACACGTACCAGCAGATTAAGTCACATAATTCGACTAAAATTAAGCGAATTTGGTCCAAATATTTGAGCCAATATCGAATTCTGGTCGCTCGAGATTATACCGAACTGATAACGGGCGATGGGGACCTAAATCAATTCTACCATTTGCGAAGCAAGCTCAATATTTCAGCCACGAAGTCGGACGGAATTCTGTACGATCAATTCCTAGCGGTTGCAACTCAAATCGTCTGGATCTCCTTGCACAGGCGGGCGTATTTCGTGATCGAGATGGAAATAAATCGACTCTTTCGCTCTGAACACTTCTATGCAAAACGGCCAGAGTATCCGAGGTTTACGCCCGCGGAACGTTCGCTGCTCTATGGACGCTACAATAAGATCGTCAACTATCGTAATCAGACCTCGCCCCTAATGCAGGAGATGCAGAATATATCCACTGCGGATGTGCCCATTGTATTGATCGGGAGACGCAAATATCCAGGCACCGATCCTCGCATATTAGAGCTCGAGCTGGAATATATCGTGCCGGGATCGCAGCTGCGACTCATCGATGTGCAGCACGGCATACTGGGCCATCCGAAAGCGGTGTACGACACTCTCCTCAGATTGAACTGGGCCGCTCTGCGCCAGTCCACGCATTCCTGGATAGCTGATAAGCAACCATATCTACGCATACCCAACATCGAAAATATAGAGGAGCACAAGTCGTCTGAGGAGTTGAAGTACCGCTACAATATCTTCTTCAAGCACGAGCCAACGAATCGCGAAACACTCGCCAAATGGATGCAGCGTGAAAAGCTCCTCGAATACTATAACAAACATGAAACTGTTAAAAGCGTTCATGACGAGGCCAAAACCCGTTTGGCATTCGAAGAAGAGAGGAGCCCCGTGGATAAAATTGTTTCTAGCTACATGGATATCATTTCCAAACTGCGACAAAACAAAAGGTGATCAGCGAATAAGGAGAGGAAAGAAAGGCAAATTGGACTCACTGAATAAATCTCTTGAGCATGAAGTAACTCCGGATGATGGGAATATGGATAATCTGCTGGAGCTCTTTTCGTATGCCACTTACGTTCGAATTTAGATTTAATTATAGTTCTTTAACTAGTTAAGTCTAATTTTACTTTGTAGCAAAATAATATATCTTAAGTAAATGAAATCAGCACAAAAATTTATAGGCCGAAATTTGGCTGCCTTTTCGAGCTTATAAATGATAGATACTCATTCAATAAGTGAAAAAAGCATATTGGTTTTGTACAATGTCCTTTTAGCTCTTTGAATCGCAGTTGAAGATGAAAAATTACAATAGGGAATATGTGCCTTAGGATTATTTATCTTGAACAAGTTTTCCTACTTGGGCCAATCCAAATGTAAAATCTATCTTTCGACTGCGAATGAGTATTAAGCAGTTGCTTAGGCCCGACTGCAGCGTTTTTACTTTCGATACTTTATATATTTAGTCGTCTATACTAATGAGTGCTCTTTTAGTTGGAAATGCCGCATCAATAGGCTATATATATTATTTTTTGCACGTGAATGGTATAATTCGTCTGTTTTGCTTTAATTGGAATTCGCGAATCGACGCTAAAGTTTTGATTCATGGGGCTCAATATTTCATAATTCACAAGGCAAATCAAGTCATCATTTCATAGGAGAGTGAGGAGCATGCTGAGCAGTTGCTAAATGAGAACAGCACACAATTGCTTAGCATATTCAGGTTCAATTTCGAGTGGACCTGATCACACTAATTCACACAAATTCATCGGGTTCTCAGACGAATTTGCTCCAGTTCTAACAACGCACAATCCAAATGTTTACCATACATAAATACAAACATACACACATATATATTTTTTTAAATAGTTGTATATTTATTGCTCTGTTTGGGAAGTGCGGGCTTTCCTTTCTACGCGATGACCGCGGCATTTGCGCCTTATCAACATCGATGCTGATGCCACATACGTCATTCATAAATTTATTCACGAATGTTCGTTTAGAGCGTGTAATACATATTAATGAAACAAATGCGCAAAATAAATACAAAAAAAATAATAAAAATAAAAAAAAATTATCAGAAAACAGTTCGCGTCGACACGAAGCAATGGCCGACAAATCGCCGACGTTGAAGCCGATTTCAAATACAAAATAAAAGCTTCCCGCATCGCGATGCCAGAGATCACGATCGTAGATCATCGCAATATATATGGGTTATCGGGGCCCTGATGAAATAGGTTATCAATGCCGGCAATTGTCCGCTTAACGAGCAACAAAATTTGTATTCTAAAATGCTCTGAATTCCACAATTATACAAAAATTATTGACTCGATCAATACGAGGCATTTTACTAGCTGTACAGTTAGCTACCGTTACATTGTTTGTATGTGTAAACTGAAGTTGTAAGGTCTTTTTGTAACGTTATATATACTATACATATATGACTACATAAGTCTCGATAATGTTTCCAATTTCCGTTTCCAATTCCCTGCACTTGCTTAAATTGAGTAAGCAGACTCTATTAATGGATGTTTGTTGCTTAATACTGTGTGTTATGGATTTTCAAAACTATTCTTTGTATAAAATTATTTGGTTCTTGAAGTTTTTATCTCTTTGAAAGCGTTAAGAGTTTTTTCTGTTTTTTTTTTTTTTTTTAAGGGTCATATTAAATATTTTTTATAGACTTAATCGACTTCTATTGTCAACTATGTGTGCCTATCACATTATTCTACACCAACACGAACTAATTAATATTATCTATATATTTTATACATATTTTATATGTACATATGTGACTTAAGTCTACAAAATTGAAGAAAAACTTAGGCAAGTTTAGTACTTAATACTTTCAATTTAATAATTTCAATTAAATAAACCATAAGCTATATGTATGTATACGTATATGTATATAACTAAAACAATATAAGTTGTAAGCCTCTAGCTACAATTGCACAACTAATTTAATATTTGTTATTTCTTTTTTAATATTTTTTTCTTTATTTTTATTTCTATTTACATTACCTAAATATAGATTATTGATTAAATAAAAACTGATTGGCATACTCTCTATGGGTCAAAAGGTTGTGTAAATATTTTGCATTATTGTGAATTCTCGATTTGACAATCAGCATAAAAAGTCAATTTAATTCCATCTTCATTACACAATTACAGTTACTGTAAAAACAATTTCATGAAATGAGAGTTTGAATTTCTCTAACGGTTAAATTGTCTGATTTAATCAGCTGCATAATTAGAAAGTGTATAATTTCATATGCAATGGCAGGTGTAATGAGCAAACGTGCCAAGGCAGCCAGATAATATAAAAGCAACATACATTATTGTAGCAGGTAATTAAATTGCTTTATTTATTTATTTTACTGTTCAAATTAAATTTTCCAACAATTGTAAACTTGTAAACGTACAAGCGCCATAAAGTTAACACAAACTGAACAAACAACAACAAGACGAACAGGAACAAGAGCAACAACAACAACAACATCAGCATAAACAACAAATTTATCAAGCCCCTCGCCAACTGCCCGCCCCCATCAGCAACATCGATGTGCATCGAGCTGGCCATGTTTCAATTATATATATATGTATATATTTTTATTTTTCTTTTATCGACGTTTTTTTTTTTTAGAATTCCATGCAGCGCCAAGTTTTAGCAGAGAGCAGAGCATGGGATATGACTAGTGGCAGCAACTGCCTGCTAGAAAGAGAAATGTGCCACTTTTTATAGCCCTTACCCTGGCTTATGCAAATGGGGTATATGGAACGGCCTCGCTTGCTCACTAAATAATTTATTTTAGTTAAATATGAAGTAGAGTAATAATTGCCATATTTATTTTAGTTAAATATGGAGTGGACTTCGGTTTATTAAACTTTGTTTTATATTGAGAATTAGGTAATTGCATTTAATTTTATATTTACCATATAGACTTTTGTTATTTCTATAATTCGTTTTTTAGGCTAATTATTCGTAAGGGAATTAAATATAGCTAAAAATATATATATTTTATATATAATTATTAGCTCTTACTAAAATATTAATTTTTGACTAGCAAACATACAAGTATTAGTCATTATTTCTAATTTGTAGCAGACAAAAAACTGCTTTAAAAAAATTAGAATTATATGGAAAAATTGTATACTTTATGAATATAGAATTTTCAGGATCATAACTATAATCTTTTATATATAACATATCTATATCTTTGATCTTTAGTGTGACAGTTCCCCTGGAAACTCACTGCGAGCTGATCAATTCAGAAACAGAAACGGTATTACTAGCTCAACTCAATGCCTTGAGTCTTGGTTCTTGAGATAAATATAGTGATGTGATTTGTAAAACTTAAATTCTAAATTTCTTTCTAAAATTCAACATCTATGGGAACTATGAAACTGTGGAACTTAAAAAAAAAAAAAAATTAGTCCACGCTGAAAAAAGATAATAACAAAACACAAACTATTTAAAGTATTTAATTCAAGGGTATTTAATTTTTCAAACGCCCAAGTTAAATGCTCTACTTTTTTGCTACGGCAGCCTTTTAAGAGTTGTTGTTGTTGTTGTTGTTGTTTTCGTACAAGCGAGCTTCGGCATGCACTTCAACAATTTTGTTGTTGTTATTGTAGTGCCGTGTCCTGCTGTTGCTGTTCCTGCTCCTGCTCCTGCTGCAGTTGTTTTTAAAAACTTTTGCTGCACTGAAACATTTTTATGGCTCTCGTGTCCTTCTGGCAGAGCCATGCGGCACACGCACACACACACACACACACACACCCAACGAAACGACGCTGAATGAGAGAAAGGAAGAGGAAAAAAAAAAGCATGTGAAATAGAAAACACGGCGTAAAGAAATTCACGTTGACGGCTTTAAGCGTTGCCCGCAGCAAAACTTTAAGAATCGCAAGTTCGCATTGCTTATCGCCGTTTGTTCTTGACATTGTTTTTGTTATTCTTTCCATCTAGAGTAGTTCGTGCGCCAATAGAGGGAGCTCAGAGCGGAAGTTCCATAGAGCAAGAACTAAAGTAACTGAAAGTTTTCTAGGACGGTTCGCAAAAAGTTACGCTGTTGAGAACTTTTAACGCTTTTTGGGAATTTGTTCCTCATTTTTCTTCTATAAGTTTTCTCTCTCTCTCTCTCTGTCTTTCTCTGCTTTTCGCTCTACTACTGAGGTGCTTAAACTTTGCCGTCTTTATTGTTCGTTTTTATTCTCTCTTTTCTTTTGTGTCTGTTCCTAGTGACTTTGTTGAAATGGAAAACTAAACGCATTGGCAAGTGCTACGAAGTTGCCCAACAGCAAATTTAATTTAAACAAGAAGAAACTTTAGCCAGCCAAAGATTAAATAGCTTTCTAGGCAGGCACATGATGTGTAAAGTTTTGCATATAAATAGGTTCGATCGATCCAGAGAAGCCAGATGTTAAAGTCAAATTCTCACATTATTTACTATACATCAGATAACTTCGATTTATAGGGTATTTCTGATCTAATAAGCCAGCAGCAGCGCCATTTAAAAGTTTAAATTTAAAGTTTATTGCATCCACATATTTCCTTTCATTTTATCCATAACATATTCATTTCAAAACATTTACAGTTAACTATTTGCAGAGTAACTAACTGTCGAACTTTGCCAAACTCATGAACTTTCCGCGTAAAGTATTTTTAGTTGTTTCGTTTTGTAATTTGTTCGTTTGAATAGCAGAATTGAATTTTAAAATTTGCATTGGCCAACAGCACCAACAACACAAACTGCATATAAATCCTGGCAACATAGCGACGGACAGAGGGGGCAGCGAGCGGGGTGGGGGCATAAGATGGAATTTATTAAATAGAATTCCACGCAATAAACTCAGACAAATAAAAAGGCTTGCAAAAATAACAGCAGCAACAGCAACAACAACAACAACAGCAGCAACAACAACAACTGCAACAAAAACAAAGGAGAGAGCAAAAAAACAGCAAAAACAAAATTCGTAAATTCGTGCCTGCAATTTTATGGCAGGACGTTCGATGTTGGCTATATGCACGCATCCCGTCGCCAAAATCCCAGCGTTTTCCCCGAAACCCTTTCGTCTCGCTCTACTTTAAAAAAAAAAAAAAAAAAAAAAAAAAAAAAAAAAAAAAAAAAAAAAACAAACAGAAAAAATAAATAAAACGTTTTCGGCCTCGAAAACAAAAGCGAAATAAAATATGAGAGAACAGCCAATTGCGAAACAACGAATAAAATATACCCTTGGGAGAGCAAAGCTATTAAAATGCAAACATTTCAATAAAAATAAATAGAAAATAACATGAAATTGCAAAAGTAATTAATACTTTTGAATGTAGATAAATAAATAAAGTTGAAAGTTGGCAATTTGATTTTCATGCCTGATATAGAGTTTAAACTAGTTTATAAGAGTCGGCTTTAATTTGGCGACCGATTAAAAATTTAATTAGCTTCAATGAGTATTTAAATGATAGCATATTATATCTAAAAGATATTTATTATAATAAAAGGCCCAAATAACGATTAGAATTTGTAAAATATTTGTACATAAAAAAAATCAGATTATAGAAATAATTTCAGTTTCTCTCCCTCTCTCTCAGTTAAAATTTTAATTTGCTTAAACTTGTAGAAATATAAGTATAATAGAGTCGAGTCCTGATAATTCGAAATGGCACGCGGATCCGATTTTTTTCGATTTCCACAGAAATGCAAATTATTTTCTTCAAGAGGATAGATTTTCTTTCTTTTTCGACTTATCGCGATTTTCGATTTAGCGGGATAAAAATAATAGAGTCTCGACTGCATTATACTATTATTATTAGCCTGTTTCAAATAAGTCACCAATTAATGTTAGCCACTTGGCAAGGGTATCGAGAACAAGATGAGCAGAGAGCATCACATTTTTTCCATTAACGACTGTCGCAACTGAACCCCCATCTTCCGTCGTCGTCCTGTTGTCCCACTGTCCGTTGTCCAGTTGGCCAGTTGGAAGCAAAACAAGAAAAAAAATACAAATTCAAAAGGTTGCTGAGCGCCAGGCTCCCAATGCTCCCAGTGCTCCCCAATGCTCTCCAGCCAGGGTGAATTAATAACCGTTGTCGCTTTTAAAGTTCAGCCGAATCGACCGCAAGCGACGCAGACGGAACGGAGCGAACGGAAGAGAGCGAGGGGGGAACAGAAGGAAACGGCACAGAAGACGAGGCCCAGATGAATTGACATTTAATTATTGCGTAAATCATAATTTTGTTCATTTTTTTTCTGTTGTTGTTGTTGTTTTATTCTCGGTTCCCCCTTTTCATGTCGTTTGCCGTTGTTAAGTGCTCCACACTGGGGACCAACCACATCAAATAACCGTTTTAACGGCTTCGCATTCATTTCATTTCATCACTTTAATAAAACGACAAGGATTTAACTTGTTTCTGATAGCCAGAAATATGTTATGAACTCTCCTTTATGACTGCAATGACAATAAAAATCTAGATTTCAGGCATTGAATAATATCTGCGGAGATACTTTAAATAAGTGACGTATTATGAGCAGATCAATGGAAACTTATTTGAGTTTTAATGTTGTAATATACATCGTAATTTCAAATGATTATCATTAAAGCATTTGATGAATAATAGCATACGTGCTATCCAGAATGATCCAGAAACATAATTGAGCAATAAAGTTTTGGGTCGTAGATAAAGTTTGATAAGCAAATAAAAACTCAAGTGAATTATTAAGGAAAACACGTCACGTTTGCCTTTGGCGTGTATACAAAAGTAATTAGGCAAAGATATTGCAAAGATAAACATATTTGCATAAGTTATATTATTCGCTCAGAAAGAAATATCATTCTATTGGTTGTGTATTATGTATAATTCAAGAAGCAGTTCGCAATAAGAATAAGTGAAAGTGGGTTGGAATGTAAGTCCATTTACTTTATGTTTTTGGAATAAAAGAGATATCTTATTTCGGAATATGAGAAAAGAAAAGGCATTAATATATATACAAATATATATAAGCTATAGCAGTAATAGTAGTCAGATTAGCAGCAACAGTCGACTAACAGTGACAGTAACAGTGACAATAACAGTGACAGCTACAGTAATGGTAACAGCACTAAGCGATATATTAACAGTCGAGTAAATATAACATGGATTTATGACATCCACATCTGGGAAAGAAAGAAAACTATAGCACTAGCACTCCGTCTGGTAAGCACATTGCAAATAACGAGCCCTTGCTGCATTCTACAAGTTAATCTTTAGATAAGAAGTTTGCACCTGGTCATGACTATACCAGAGTTCAAGAATTGCATGGAAATGCCCAATAATATTCCGCAGCCCTTTACGTTCGCTACGTTGTTAGCCAACATTGCATCCACTGGGAGTCCTAATCTTATCTGTATATTATCAGCAGACTTTTATTTGGCTATATTTAGACTTGTTGCTATTATACTTATGCATATTTAATGAAACAAATACGAGTGTTGTAACAAATGCATAATTCACAGCGAATAAGTGTTAAACTATAAAATTGTGAGTGGCCAATCGCTTAAAGGGCGCAGCAAATGGGGTATATGGGGCATTAACTGAAACACTTTCGCAGTAATATGAGGAATGCCAAGCGATGCGGCTATACGATGTATGAATTCATATATTTGGATTGTGTTGCTTGTGCTGTGGTAAGAATCGCAATGAACGTCATGTCAAATTAATTTAAATTAATTGAATTCCCAATTTGTTGGCGGTGCGAGTCTAACAGAAACTACTTCGAACCAATGCAGCGCAAAGCGAAGATTGATTAAACCGAAGAAAACAACAAGAAATTAAAGACAATCGATTGATTGTCTTTAGTTATTGTTTTTTTTTTTTTTAATTTCAGCTATGTCGTACGTTTGGCTGTTCTGATACAAACCTGTGTGCAAATGAATAATCCAGATCCAGATCCAATTAAATGCTGCTGCTGCTCCACAGACACAGACGCACACACACACATACACACACATGCAGTTGCATATGTACATGTGAGCTCGTAAGCTTAAAAGCCCAAGTCACGCGTCTTGGGGGCAATGAGACGAGAGTAAAACAAGAACAACAAAAACCGACACGAAACGCATTTGGGAAAGATGCGCGCGATGCGATTAAAAGTGGCGGCGGCCTGCTAGGACGGCGGGACAGGCGCAAGGTGAGACACAGAGGCACAGGCACAGGCACAGGCGCGGGCAGAGGCAGAGGCAGAGACGGCGCCGCCAACAACACCGACAAGTGACGTCAAAGAGCGGCTTAAATTCACTTAAACACATTAGGAGCACGAGAGGGAGATAGACAGATAACGTGATAGAGAGAGAGTGAGGCACTTGGTGTGGCTTTTTAGCTCTAAAATTACTTTTAGCTTTTTATTTAGCTTTTGGCTTTCTTTTGATTTGGCTGCTTCGCTGATTTCTTTGCTCACTTTATTTTAGCTTTAAAAGCTTAAGAGCACAAATGGCTGATCGACTTAATGCACGACGGCTGCTCGGGGGGCTTTTCTATGTATTCTCAGCTGTTTTCTAGCTGTTGTTTTTGTTGTCAGAGAAAATTAGAGCGGGTTGTTGTTGTTTCTGTTGCTGTCGTCGCTGTTGGTTTTGTTTTTGCTGCTGCTGTTTTTGTCATGCTGTCGACTTTCGCTTTATTTCGCTTTGCAATTGTACAATTGAAACATTTTTAGGTATTTATTGTAAACATCCAATGAATTGAGAGCAATGCGTCGCTTCATGGTCACTGCGGTGGTCTCTGCATAAACGCGCACACACACACACACGCACTCACGAATAGCGCAAACACAGACACGTACGATCACGATCAAAGCGATGGCGGAGCTCCCAGCCCCACGTCGGCAACGGCAACGGCAACGGCAACAACGGCGATGAACAACAGGCGACGGTATCTACGGCCACCGTCACCAGCTGGTTGCAATTAACGTGAGCAACTGCAGCCGCGTGCACTATTCACTAGCTTCGATTTGTATTTGGCCAGCACGGAGCACGGCCATGCACTGCAGTCGAGTGGCTCCCTACAGCAGGCAACGGTAGGCAGACAGCGGCGGCAGCGGGCAGCAGTCGGCAGCGCTTATTCAATTGTTTGCATTAGCCTTGCATTCACGTTTAGCACTATCGCGAGCACTGGCCGTCGCTTGTTGCTGCTGCTACTACTGCGCGCTATTGTCGCCAAGGCACACGCGAATTATTACAGTCAACACTAACTTGGCGTTAGAAATATTTTTAGAATTTCTTTTAAATGCGAACTCTCAAATTATTATAACACTGTGTCGCCGCAGACGGGGCGATATTTACATTTAGATTTACACGCCGAACTACGGTCAACTTATCGATGACACCATCGACAGCAACCGATAGTTATGCGACAAGCATCGAATGCACGCTCGACTATCGGCTCCACATTGATAACCTTCGCCATTTACAAATTTCAACTCTGCATAATTCTGTTACCACTAACCAGAGAGCTCTCTGGTTAGTGCTGTTACTTATGTCAAATAAAAAAATATTTGAATTTCCGATTGGAAACAACCAATAAGAAATTAAACATATCAAGAATACAAACACTGGTCAGTGATACAAATTAACTATTATAAATATAACAACAAATAAATACATGAAAAATATAAATTAATAAGTAGATGTCTCAAACCTATACTTCTCACTAGTAATAAAAAATATTTAAATCATATTTAAATTTGTAATATATATTTTATAGTAAGGCAAATCATAAAATATTATTTCCTGAAATCTTTACGGGTCTTAGAAAATACTATCGATGATGTTTGATAGGCAATAAAAAAATGAAATATCGTTTAAGCCGATTTACACATTAGCCGATGTTGAAACTACCAAGTTGCAACAACGGTACGCGCCTGTATTTTAAATTTGATGAACTGAAAAATAACATATTTTTTAGCTGATATTTAATGTGCTTTCAACCACAAGCTGTGTCCGAATAGTAGCCTCCAATTTTTTTTTAATATTATATTTATTGCTTTCTATAAACAGGTGCTCTGCTTTGTTTTGAGTTGTTTTTTTCACTAGCTGTCTTTCTTTGTCATTTCACTCTTTCCTTCCTTCTCATTTCTATTTAATTTTCATCAGTATAGACTAGATTTTTGCGATTAATGTAGTAGCAACATTTGATATACGCCGTGTTCATATTGAAGTCATAATAAACAACTGAAGTTTTAAGATAAAATTTTTAATGAAAGCGGGAAATAATTTGATTAATAGTTATCGACAATGACAACCAGTGTATCCACCTTAACTTTGCTCTGTTAACTCACAGTCGGAAGTGGCGGCTAATCGATAAGCTGACGTTTCACTAAAGTGCGCGTCAATTTAATAATTCAAATCATTCTCCTGATTTACACAATTTTTAGTAGACTTGTGCTATTAACATCAAAATATATAGTAAATAAATTAGTATTAAACGACTTGCTGAAAATGAACACAGAGCGCATGATTTTTATTGTCTTCATATGCAGTGGTAAGTTATTTCAATCTAGATGGAATGGGGTTTTTATAAAGGCTTTTTAACTTCTGCAGCTTTCCTCCTAGTAGTTAAAGCAGAGCCTGAGAAAGGCTCAAATTCCCAACGTATTATTGAAATACTTAAGAGCCGATCGAATGGCACCATCAAGCTTGTAGATTTGTATAATAATACGAAGACTAATGGAAGTGATACCAAGCATTTTATCAAAGTTAAGGAAAATGTCTCTAACAATTCAAAGTGGATATTATCAAAGAATTCTCCAACTCATCCATCCAACGGCTTTTTAGCGCGGTTTAAGCATAAACTGACTAGCTTTCATACCCATAAGTCCCTAAAATTAGTTAAGCCCCTTTCCCAGAAGACAGAAAATCACAACTATATTTTGATCAAGGAAAAACTTCATATGGTGCTCTATGACAAACACTTTTCGCCCAAGTTAAGCGTCGTCAAGCTAATGTACACCATAGTCGATAGATTCTGTAAGTCAGCTCACATTTGATATTTGATCTTAATTGAATTATATATATTGTTCACAGCAGATTAAAAAGATTTTTAAATTTCCATTCAAGTTAATCAAAATCACAATGAGTTGGTATTTGATGAAGAAGAGTTGATCGAATGAGGGACATATGTTAATGCAGTTTGGAAATATTTATTTTTATTAATGATAAATATAATCATTGCATTTTTTAAAAAGAAAACAGCAATGAAACAGGAAAGAAAGGGAAAAATGTATTATTTAAACAGTTTATAGAAATAAATGTTAATAAATAAATCAAAGTATAAATAATTCCCTTTTCTGTTGCTATTACTAACTTTTCTCTATGCAGTTGCCATCATATGGAATTTGATTACAATGCTCCTCAATATAATTCATTTTGATATTCTAAACCTTTCCATTTCCAGCGTATTTCCATGTATATCCTATTAAGTTTCTAACATAACCTCAAATAGAGAACATTACATAAAACAGATACTGCTTTACTCAGTGCTAATTCTAATGATTGTTAACAAATTTCTCGCATTTTTTTTTTAGAAATAGAGACAGGGAGAGAGAGAGACAGAGAGAGAGAGAGAGAGATAGCGAGAACTGCATTTTTTTTTAGACATTTCTACACATTCAAATATTGATATAATATTTGGTTTACGTTACTTGGCTTAGACACTCACTAATCTTTACTAATCAACATAACCTCAAATTAAATTATAAACAGAACTCCATGGAATTTATAATTCTTGTAAGCTTTATAAGCTGTAAAATTTTTAAAAATTCTGGAATTTTGTTTCTCAAATGCAAATACCAAAACCTAATGGTTTTTTATAACTTTAAATATTTAACGGCAGCTAACTTAACCTCAATGTTTTTCATATATGTATGTATATTTTTTGTAAAATATTCTAATACAATTACTTTTTAAAGAAACCCACACACAATTGCAAATACCTAAGCTGTCTAAAAAAAATAAATAAAAATGTAATACGAAATATAAGAAATAAAAACAAAAATAAATTCGTTGATTTTGTATATAAGGTATAACATGTTAACATTTATTATTGACTACGTTTTAATATCGCACGTTTTTTTTCTATTTTTTTTTTTTTTTTTTTTTTTTTTTTTTTTTTTTTTTTTTATTTTTTTTTTTTTTTTTGTTTTGTTTTTTTTTTTTTTTGCATTTAGCATTAGCTGTTTTTACTGTTCTTGCAGGTACTTAGTACTACTTGCTCCACTAAACTTGCGATTATTGTACGCTTGTCCTAAGTTAATATAGATACATATACATATATATATATAGATTTCGATATAGATATATACACATACAAGACTATATATATATATATAGGGTTTTACATGAGAATTTGGGCATAGTTTAGTTTTAGTGTTAATAAATACTAAAAGTTTAGGCATTTTGCATTAAATATACATATATATTATATATATATATATATATATATAATAAATACATCTCGAGTTTTCGTTACACATAAGTTATACAGTTATATATATATATGTATATTAATATAGATATATGTTTGTTTTTAAAGTAAAATATTTTTGTTGTTTGTAAGTAACTGTTAGAAGTAGCCGCTGTTGCTCTTTGTTAACTTGATTTGATTTTTGTTTTTTTGTTTTTGTTTTTTCTTGTTAGCCTGAAGCATTTCAGGACATATTTCTCTCTCTTTTTGTTGGTTTGTTTTGTTTATCCTCTCTATCAGAGTCAAGAGCCAAGTTGTACATTCGCATTAGGTTTTCTGAGTTGATGCACTTAATTCGCTAGACATTTAGTATTCGTATTCGTATTCATATTCGTATATATATATATAGATTACAGACTAGGTAGGCTAACACGTTAAGTCTTAGAGATAGGGTTAAATAGCACTTTATAGTCGTGGCTTATATATCCATAAAATACTTGAGTAAAGATACGAGTATACAGGCTAGCTGTTTAACTGTTTTGCTGTTTTGCTATTTTCCTTATTACGGTTTACTGTTTACTGTTATTCGTTTAGCATTTGTTTGATTTTGTTGATTTTTGGTTTTTGGTTTGTTCCCTCGAAAATGTTTATGGTCATTTATAGATAAGAAATTGCAACAGCTAGACGAGATCACGTTCAGACAATCGGCACGCACACCCACTCCATCAGCCGGAACAGCAGGGAGCACAGCCAATTCTAGGCAGCCGTCGTCACCTTTGCCGCCGCGCCAGGTGGTGCAGCTGTCTCGACTGTCGCTGTCGCTGTCGCTGCAGAGCCGCTGCCAGAGCTCTCCAGCTGTTGTTGCTGCTGCTCGGACTGCTGCTGCTGCTGCTGCTGGGGACCAGCGATGCTGGCGCTGCTGCAGCTGCTGCTGCTGCTGTTGGCAACGGTTTGGCTGTTGCGCAGTTCAGGTGGCAGATAGATTTTGACTACGCTGATGATCTTAGCACGGCAATTGGGGCAGCTGCTGCATCTGCAAGAGAAAAAGGAAAAAATTAGTTTCATTCAGCTAGGGGGCATCTGCCATCCAGAGAACTCACCTCGCCGCGCACTGCGCACAGGCAATGACGTGACAGCACGGATTGAACACTGTGTTGATCGCCCGGTCCATGCAGATCTTGCACTGCATAGCCTCGTTGATGCGGCTCTCCACGCAGCGCTCAATCGCCGCCTCACGCGCCTCCTTCTCGCGTATGGCCAAATCTATCTTGCCGGCCATGGAACCGCCAACACCGCCAACACCCTCGCCACCCTCGCCGCAGCCGACCACCGTCTCCGGGTCGCAGCTGCCGCTGCCCATCACATCGATGGCCCCCATGGCGCCGCGCTCGTGCAGTATGCGACGCGCCTGATCGTGCACCTCGCGGCACGTGTGCTGTATGTCGAACACGTAGCGCTTGCCCAGCTCGGTGTCCTCCTTGAACATGGACGCGATCGTGCCCTTGAGATCCCGCGTAAACTGATTCGTCACCACGCAGCGCACCTTGTCGCACACATAGAACGCATGGCGCTCGGTGATCGAGCGATAGAGCCCGGCGGCAATTGGCGGCTTGGACAGCTTTATCTCCAGCTCCTTGCGATCATTATGATCGTCCACATACTCCAGCTTAAAGGTGCGTCTCAGCGACTTTGCAGCGGCAATGGCACTGAAAGGGATGCTGATCAAGAGAAAAACAGAAAGAAAGAGAAACAGAGAGAAACAAATAAGTATAAAATAATATAATAGAATAGAATATAATATAATCTATTATCAAAGGAAAGACTTAGGATCTTTTAGGCATGATGTAAAAGCTCAAAGATTAAGAAAAGCTTTTCAGTCTATAGACAGAATATGGAACTGAAGCTAGTGCCTTTTAAGAACTGATCTTCAATTATAATGAACCAACTGACTAGAGGCAAATACAAATTTGAAAATCTCAGAAACTTTAGTATACAATACTATTAAATCTCTATAAGATGGAATGTCTAGTAAATAATTTTCTATTAGTATTAAGAGTAAAGCTTAAGTTTAAGAACTTTCACTTGAACGAAATTAAGAGAAAAGATCAGAAACTTTAATATACAATAATATTAGATCTCTAGAAAATGGAATGTCTAGTAAATATGTTGTCATTAGTATTAAAAATATAGCTTAAGCTAAGCAGCTTTCATAGAGCTTTCACTCGAACGAAATTCAGAGACATTCCTGCAGCTTTCAATAGAGCTTTCACTAGTGGAAACTATTCCTCACCCCAAGGAGCTCAACTTGCAAAGCTTTCATTGCATAGAACAAAGCCTCAATGTGCTTTCTAAGTTACTTATAAGTAGGACTTTTTGTCCTTAAGCTTAAGCTTAAAGATCAAATCTAAGGTGAACGATTCTGTACATGAACTCTATGGAACCTTGAGCTAGTCGAGTGTAAGATCTGCCAGCTCTGCCTGATCTCTAAGCTAATGCTAGAGTCCCCCTTCAGAGTTTTTGGGCTCACCTTTCTTTTTCTTCCCCACGAATGACTGTGATGCCATGGGCGCCCACTGCAATGTCGCAGGGCGTGGCGCTCTCGTTGGTGGTGACGCCGCTGAACAGCTCCTCGCCGTAGCCGCTCAGCTCCTGGATGCCCTGCAGCAGCCAGTACTTGGCCGCCTTGGGGGTCATGGGCAGCTTGGCCAGCTTGCTGTGCTCGGTGGCAATCTGTCGCAAGAAGTCGGCGGGCGGCTCGTTGTCGCTGTCCTTGTCCGTGGCGCTGGGCAGGATTATGTACTCCTCGTACATGCGCAGCGGATTGCTGGCCAGCCGCTCGTCCAGGCCCGAATGGCTGCTGCTGCTGTTGCTCGGGCTGCTCGAGCTGGAGGCCGACGGCGATGGCTGCAGATTGTGGCCGCTGTTGCTGGAGACCGCGCTGGCTGGCGCCGCGAGCGTGCAGCACTCGATGTGCTCCACGGACTTCTGTTTGGAGAGGCGGCGCTTCTTGCGCTGCTGCTCCAGCTTGTGCTGCTGCTGCTGGGCCAGCTGCTGCTGCGCCAGCTCGCGGCGCATGCGCATGGGGCACTCGGCGCGCAGCGACTGCTCATTGAAGCGCAGCCCGTCCGCCTGGCAGAGCAGCGCCGCCAGCTTCGCTGCATTGCTCCAGTCGTGGGCGCAGAGGCGCGCCTCCAGCAAATCCCGTCGCGCCTGCATATAGAACAGATTCCGCACGCTCTCCTGCAGGATGCTGTGCACCGGCACCCAGAACTTGACGCGCAGCGCCAGCATCAGTCGGTCCCCGTTGCTGCTGCCGCTGTCGCCGTGCAGTCGATTCCTCAGATTGTACCATTGCCGTGTGCGCGACTCCTTCTGGTTGGGCGTCCATGGCTCCAGGCCGAAGTACTGCATCTCACATATGATGCCCAGACCGTGGCACACCTGCAAACAAGAATTTTCAATGGAATTAGTTGAGAGTTTGGAGGGGTTGGAGTTGGAGTATGTCTTAGATATATGTATGTCTTAGCTTGTTAGATAACTAGATTTTAATCTCCACAAGTTTCACTTTTGTAGACCCTAGCGTTTAGCTAATGTATTACTCGTCAATCATGTTGATTGATTTGCTATTTTACACACTTTAAAGCTAGAAATTGGGCTCAAGTCTGCATTTGATCAATTTTCCACTCTCTGTCCATTTGAGCTTCACATCTCATACGGTTAAGCCGCTGCTTTACTCTTCAATCATGCTGATTGATTGACTCTATGCATAGCTATACAGCCCAGGAAGTTTTAAATGTATTCAATCTATTGTATTTCTAATGGAAAACTGAATCAATCTGACTGCAATACTTTATTATATTGTATTGGAACCTTATGAGAATTGATTGATCATTACTGATTGACGTTCATATTTTGACCACTTTGCAGTTGGAGCATTTGGGTAAAACACTCTAAGACTAGGCAATCCTTTACATTTCCAACTTTCTTATCGTAAGCCTTAACTCCTCAATCAAGCTGATTGATTAGCTCTATGACATACAAAGTTTATAGACCAATAAGTAGACTCCATGTAAGTTACCCTATAAATTAAATATGGTTCATTCAATCAAGCTGATTTCCTAGCTCGCTGCATAACTATTTACTGTAAGTTAATTCATCCTTCTTCTATTTACTATCTATAGAATTTCTAGTGAAATTAAAATATAAGTATATATAGCTAATAGATTACCTTGATATAGATAAATATCTATTGTACATCTATAAAGTCTATGCCCAAAGAGTAAATTCTCAATGTATTGCTGCAACAGTTTCAGATACATTTGTATCTATTAATTGCACGCAGAAATCCGTGGACTTGTTTGCAAACTGATTGCTTAGGGAATCAGAAAAAAAGAGCCAAATAGAAGAAGAAGAAGAATAAGCTGAAGCTGAAGCTGAAGCAGAGCAGGCAACCTAATCGCTTGAGAGGCTTATCAGCTCAGCTTGACAGCGCCACTGTCAGCGACAAACAGCGCTAGGAGCTGCGAGCTGCGAGCTGCTGCGAGTGGGGACCATGTCGACAATGTCCTGTCAGTTGTCCTGTCTGTGGGTTTGTCAAATACAACAACGTTGCTATGACAGCAGCAGCAACTGCGTCTGGCAGCATGTGAGCATGGGGTTGTGTGTGTGTGTGTGTGTGTGCGTGTGGGTGTAAGGCCTCGAAATATTTGCTTATGCAACGAGCGTGCCATCATTGCGAATGGAACAAATTCAAATGTTTGCTGCACGTCAGCGTTGACAACGGCAACAGCAAGCGAAAACTCAGAGAATTCCATTTGACAATACAACAGGAAGACGAACAAACTACAATATATCCTGTAAAATTAAACAAATTAAATGAAAACCATTTCAATTCAATTTAATTTTGTATTGTATTAAAATTAAAATTACAAAAATTTTCCAGCAATATTTCTGGTAGTCCATCATGCCCTATCAGTGCAGGCCACTAATGGGTAGTTGGGCTAACAAATCAGCATAGTCAACCAGTTGACGATGTTGTCGGTTTAATATAACAGCAATCCAGCCTGCCACAGGCCCCGCCCCACCCCCCTCTCGCGTTTCTCCACAGCCCACGCTTGGGTCAAAACAGAAATACGAAGCGAAATTAAATGAAATTCGCAAAGCTCACACAAATTCCAGCAACAAATTTCTTAGTTATGTCAACTGCCACGCCCCTACCCTCTACTCTGCTACCTTACCCCATGGCCCATCCGCCAGCCAAGAAGCACTTTGCATAATGAGGCAACTTCTGGGCCAAGAGGCATGCCGCCAGGTAGCCACGTAGCCAGCCAGGTGGGTAGCCAGGTGGGTAGCTAGGTGGCCAAGGCAACAAGTTGCTCCCAAGGAGTCACGCGTCAGCGCCTCGCACATTTTCACTTTCCAATTAGACAGCCGCAGAATTTCAGATGAACTTTTGCGTATGCACGTATGTGTGTGTGTGTCGGTGTGTGTTTGTGTGGGCGTGGCTGGAATTAGCCCCGGCAATAAACATGGTGAACTGTGCGCTGATGCGAAAGCCCAGACCCAAAACTTGTGGCACCGACCCGAGCGGGTGTATTAGGAGGAACGTGTTTTTTATGGGTTTTTAAATGGAACGCTTAAATTAGACTCGAGTTGGGCACCAAATACACTCTTGTTTACTATTATCATTATCACAGTCATAATTATCATAATTTACAAAGAAATAAACATAAGCAAAAGGATAATTGTTAAGAATTAGCCTTACCATTAGCATTAGCATCATTATTATTATAGTCATTATTCTTTGCAGTATCATTATTATTACCATTCGCATTAGTGCGAGAATAAGCATTAGCATTGGCATTAGCATTGGCATTAGCATTAGCACTAGCATTGGCATTAGCATTGGCATTAGCATTGGCATTAGCATTGGCATT